TGGCTGTTCATAGTAGATCCAATCTGATTGGTGTGACATACATACATCTCTCACTCACTCACTCACTCACCCATTGACCCATCCATAACATACCCGACGTGCCGACTAAGAGGTATTTTTTTCCCAAAAAAATAACTCAAAAATTACTTTTTCTAGACTGCAGCATATTTTTGAAGGTCCAGAAAATTCTGTTAAATTTATTGTAGCATTTGAAGGACTGCAAACTTGAAAGAATCAAGGTTTAACTTGTGAGTTTTGTTTCCCCTCAACTCTCAATGGGTCTTGGGGAAACAAAACTCTTTGCATTTCAAAAACAATAATTTTATTTTGGGTCAGGTGATCTAACCAGATCAATATTTCAAAATTACTTTTTCTAGACTGTAGCATATTTTTAAAGGTTCAGAAAATTCTGTTAAATTTATTGTAGCATTTGACAGACTGCAAACCTGAAAGATTCAAGGTTTAATTTGGTTTAAAGACCTCAGTATCTGCTTTTTATTCCTTTTCATCATTAAATTCCAGTTTTGTTTTGCCATGGCATTGCTATTTAGCAAATTTAATTGCATAATAATATTTGTTCATGTTTTTGTATCGTATGTAATAAAGAGAAGAGACCGGACTAGTCCCTGACATCATCACTGTTCATGGGCTTCACATGTTTTTTTTCTTCTCATTCTTCTACTCTTAAATGCAAGTTCCTGTTCTCCCATCTCTCATTATATTGGTGTTTAACGACTTCCTCCATCTTATTTGGTAAATTTTATGAATTGCAAAATGTTTCTTGCTTTTTCCAAGGAATGTTTTACTCATAAGTCCAAGGAAATACCATGAAAAATTTAGGCCATGATAAATCCTTGGAATGGTAATGAAACGCTGTTAATTTACCATGAAAATATTTGTTACAATTTCAGGGGGTTTGGGTTAGGTTGAAAGTGACTGGATTTTATTTTATTTATAAACCAATAGTCTCAGTGGACTCCTCTGATGATTGCTGCATCTGCTGGAAGAGATGTAATTGTCTCCTTGTTGATTGACTCTGGAGCTGATGTTAACAGCACAAATGAGGGAGGCCAAACATCATTGCATTATGCAGCATCTAGGAACAGACATGAGGTAGCTGTAAACTGCAAACACATTCAAATGCTATGTCTTTTGTATGTTAGATATTTGTTTGGCACTGAAAGTAACAGAATATACCTTGTCAGATTGCAGAGCTGCTGCTTCACAATGGAGCACATGTTAACACACAGGACAAGACAAGTGCTGCAACCCCTCTCCATCGTGCTGCATCTAGGTAAAGTTAACACATTGCTGTGAATGATCTAAATTATTTTCAAAATACACGAGACACTATGCATTTTTGATTATTTTATGATAGCAATAAAGTACATTTCTGTGTTTACATAGCCTCATTTAAATGCTTGGGGGGTTAGGAGAATTCTTGAAAGTTATGCAAACCCTCGATTGCATCTCGGGTTTGCATAACTGTCTCGAATTCTCCGAATCAGTGTTTAGATAAGACTATGTAAACACAGAAAAAGTGCTCTTGACTTACTATTGCTTGATTATTAATCCTTTAAGAAAATGCCCAAAACATATATGTTATCACCCATACATACATCACCTTTTTTTCACTATGGATTTGCAAGAGTAGCTGTATAGCTAATTTCTCCAAGAAAATAATAAATAAAGGAATAAATGAATAAAGTAGTATTAATAATAAAAATAAAAGATAAATAAAGATAAAAAATAATAACCATATGCCATGGCATGTGGTTATGCCATGCCACTCAACACAGTATTAAAATACTACACCTTTGCTAAAGGTCTCCAAAGAATAACTAATCTGGTTTAGTCTACATAATTTAGGGGTCATTCCAAGATGGTCAAGCTGCTTTTGAAGCAAAATGCTAACTGTGATATACAAGATGCTGAAGGCAACACTGCTCTGTAAGTTCCTTGTTTTAGTTCTCTATAAATTTTCAGTTAAGCAGATACAGTGGAGATATAAACTGTTCTTTCAGATGTATGATTGTGAGTTGGTGTACTGATGTTGTGTTTGCTGGTCACTTGACTTTTGTAAAACTGCTCCAGGGACATGTATATGTTGCCTTGAATCAGTAGCAATAATAGTCATGCAGAGCTGCTATTACTATTCATTTGGTGAGAATGTTCATCGGTCTTCTTTAAAAACACCTTTTAAAGGTGCCAAAATTCAGGTCTATTTTGCTTTAATTTGTGATCTACATGGCATTTCCTTCTTGATTGGACCTGTTTTCATGTAATAAGCATATTAAGCCATGTAAATAGGGGGATCTTTGTTGTTGATATTTGACTTATCAGTTTAATAAACACTTCAGTTATACATAATAAGCCAAATTATCCTTGCATTTTGATTGGTTCTCGCATATGACCTATTAGAGGACAGCTGCATAGATGACATCAATATAACAAACATTTTCCCTCTGTTTTTTAAAATGGCTGCAAGGTTTTTTTAATTCAGATGTTTTATGTGAATGGGCGAAAGATAAGGTATCAAGAAAGTCTTTTCAAGGCTGTGAACAGGTATGAGAAGTAGGAAGAAGGAAGAAAAAGCCATTTCTTTTTTAGAAAATGACTCAGAAAAAATACTTGAGCAGTCTTAGTCGACAGTTAAGCAGGACTAAACCAAACACACAATTGGTCTTGAAATTATTTCAAGACAAGAAACCATTGCTTTGTCTAGAATTTAACAAACCCAATAAGCAAAATGTTTATGAGATTAATTTATTTCAAAAATTCAACTTTTCTCAGTCTCAAAATAATTGTTTACACAGATTGGTGTCAGGAATGAAACATCACAACACCACTTCTTAAAATCAGTTGAATTAAACACATGACCTTGCTTTCTGACGCAAATGTTTCAGTCCATTTCAGGGCACAGTACGTAGCGAGTAAAGTATAGGTCACTTCTGCTCACGGCCAACTGTATTGCAGCTAGAAAGTTTCTCGGACACAATATCAAATTATTAGGACTAGTTGCTTCTAGGAATATTTTATATTTTAATTCTGGATTTATCTTAGTGAATATAGTAATTGTAAGTAGTAATGTAACTGTAAATAGTAGTGCATTTTTGTCATGAGCCCCTGGCTCAGGGGATTGGTCAACCACTCCCTACGTGTACGACATAAAATCAAGTTACCTTACATGTGTACCTTATCTTACCTTATCAAATTGATTTGAGAATCGCCAACCACAGAGGACACAAATTTCCACTGTTACCAATGGTCCTTTAATTCATTCAAAACTCAAATCAAATGACCCCCAATGTATCCAAATTGACCATAACCACAAGTTTTCTGAGCATATTTTTTCAAGGCAATGTCTAGGTTTTTCAGCTCACAGGAGTGCTCTGATGACAAAAACTGACTTGACATTTTCAGCATTTTCTGTAAGATTAGTGGATTTCACTGCTCAATTCTGCTTTTGCTGTAAGTTTTTATTCCATGACAAGCAGCGTTTGACAGTGGCATGATTTCCCTGAACTAATCACATGTCATAGATGACATCAAAATATGGCAAGAACATCAGTGACACACTTGGCTATTACCTCGTGTGCCACTTTTTTGTTCTTACCACATTTTGATGTCATCTGTAATCTATTACTGAACAGACACATGACAACATGGAATCTTTTTGTTAATCTGATCAGAATAAAGAAATATCAGGTCAAACAGAGATTTCAACCCAGTGTATAAAAAAAATACCTTTTGTGTTATATGTGAGTTGAAAAACTCAAAATGTTACAAAAAGTGTACATTATATTGACTCATTTACTGTATTTGCCACCCAGACATGTTGCAGTTTTTGAAACTTGACATCTCCTTCGATATTACAGCCAAAGAGTTAAAAAATTCACAAATACTAAGTTTCACAAGCTCTCTCAATATAATTTTTGAATCAATTTGTATCTGGAATGATGCCTTCTCTACACAGTCATAAGCTAATGAGGCAATATTCTCATAAATATCTACCCAGACATTACAATAACTGGAGACTGACAAGAAGACTATCAGGTTATTTCAGTTTCCAAACTGTACTTTTCTTCTATTTATTTATATTATAATAATTAGACAGTACTTTCTTCTGGGCCTCATCAGTGCAGTGCTGATACCAGGGTGGAGGCTTTTGCTAGATAGCCACCTCTGATGATCCAACACTAGTGATATCATCAATGCCATGCCGGGTGTGCTCGACCTAGAGGACTAGTGAGCTTTGCACAAAGGCACACCCTAGTTAGAGTGCTGAATGACGCATGAGCCAAGGAGCATATCTAAGAAGAATTATTAGTTCAGGTGCTGATCACTGCGGGAGCCAATATAGTGCTCTACAATGAAGGAGCTGTTATAACGAAGAAGAATTATTAGATATAAACTTGTGAAATGTACAAGAGTGCTTAAAGTTGTTGTTATTATTATTATTATTATTATAATTATTATTATTATTCTTATTATTATCATTATTATTATGTGGTACTATGATAAAATTTTTACCCCTTGATTTTTTTAGGAGTATCACATAGAATTCCACGAAAAAATAAAAACGCCATTTACTGTTTACGAATATCTAAATTAGTCTCAGAGATATTTAAGTTTGAAACATGTATAAAATATCCAAATGAGATGACTGATGACGTCATACACTCTGAAACCCAAAGTCAGTAATATCAAATTAACAAATTGGCGTCAGTTTTTTATGCGTCTGTCCTCTTATTGATGATAAATTGCGGCATAACATTGTCAAAGTGGCCTTGGAACCACGATCCGCAGGCGAGTGGTTCCGCAGTAAACTTTGACAATGTTATGACGAAATTTATCATCAATAAGAGGACAGACATATAAAAAACTGATGTCAATTTGTTTTTTACAATAACAAGACCCCAAACTGGTCAAATGCCGGGAATAAATGAGGGAAAAGACACGTAAACTTGCCGTAAACAAAGATAAGTGAATTTTATTCAAAATGACGCGAACATTGTCAATAGCTTTTCTCGCTTTTTGATTGGCTACTTAAAAAAGTCCATAAAATCTCGTTGGTTAAAAAGTTGACAGTTTGACAGCTGAAATTTGAACTTGAAAGCTTGCATAAATTAACAGTTTATCCATCTGTACTCTTATTGATGATAAAAATGAGCCAATCAATGCTCAAGAGATTGGACAGTTATTGTAAAATATATAAATAGAGCTATCTTGGTAAATTTGCAGCACAGTTCATGGAAACTTGATAGGCTAATAGTTCTACAGACAACGCACCTACGGCTATAAAAAATTTTGTTCCCATGGCAACTCACTCTTTTCCAGTTCCCACCCACTTTATTTCAATATGTTAGTGATTTTCAGCTGGAAAAAAAAAGTAAACGAGGTCACAAACTCGAGCTAACATATTTATATGCTGGCTGGATCATGCAGATGAGGTACTGTTAGCAAATATCAAAATGGAACGCTTAAGGTGGCCAGAAAAGCCTTTAATATTGGGGAGGTTGGAACCCAGCATGTTGCCATGGTAACAAAACTGTTAAGCTCGTATTGTGGAGCACATTTAGTAGAATCTCCCTGCAAAGAATCAAACATTTCTGATACAAATTGGCTGAGATATCTTTCGTCATCATATCTGATCAAAATTTGGTTGAGTGTATGATGTCATTGCTTGGCTAATTTGAATATTTTAAAAACTTGAATATAGCTGGAGCGGAAAGAAATATTTGAAAATAGTAAACAGCGTTTTTCTTTTCATACAGACTACTTGTTTAAGTTTTAAAATGGCTTAGATAGGAAAGATAGGATTTTCGTTATGGTAGCAGTTTAATGACATCTCCAAAGATTTTTCACTTCCTATATCAAGGCTGTTTGCTGATGGCAATGGTGAAGACAGGTCTTTTTAAACGTTTTCATTTCCCTGGGTTTTTTCTCCTATGGACTCCTCCACCCTTACTTTTCTCTCGCTCTCCATTTGAACCAATCATTCAAACCTACTGCTCTAATCACTTGCATTGAGTGGCTCATGAAAGATCACCCATTCAGAGCCAATAAGAATGCTTGACCTCAATTGAGTAAAACTAAAGTTGTTCATTTCATTTCATTTTCATTTTGTCAATACCTCAAAATTCTTGTGTTTTGCTTTTGTGTAGTCACATGGCCTGTGAGGAGGAGAGAGCAGAAATAGCTGTGACATTAGTAGAAAATGGTGCTAATCTGTACATACAAAATAAGGTGAGTCAAGACTTATGTAATCCGTACCTACAATTTCAATGATCATATTTATTTCTTAACTATTTTTAGACTCAACGAAATTAATTACATAGATATGTGTAGTATTTTTAACTTGTCAAACACTCACCATGAGCCTCCGGCTTGGGGGACTGGGTAACCACCTCCTGTGTATATATCCAGCGTAGCAGTAGCTTCCTTTCTGAGAAAATAAAAGGCCGCTTAAAGGAGCTCAGTCACGGTTTGCACATTTTGAAAAGTTTAGCCTGAATTTTTCAAATTCGTCGTTTGTAATCCGAGTCAATCTTCGCCATCCTTGACCATCCTTGTTCCTTTATGGTTTATTACTATCTCTTTGATGTTTTTCTGTCTAAGTAAACTATTATTTTCAGGTTTCCTTCCATTTAAAGGAGATTTTGTACGTGGCCAAAAAAAAAGACAAAACACCGTGAGTGAGCTCCTTTAACAACATGGCGCGCCGTGTAGGGGACAGATTATATAACAAACGAAAAGACCAGCAAGCAATCAATCAAACAAACAAACATTGAGGGCAAGAGAGAAGGAGAACCCTTTTCCCCTAAGTTATGTGAAAACTGCAGTGGTGCATATTTAGAGGTAAACACCATATAAAGTAGTTAATACTCTGTTAAGGTGATTCCACTGAAAAAGGAGGAGTGTTTAAAATCTTCTAAGACTTGACCCTCTCGGTAACTAAATTATAAGTAGTTGAAAATGAATTTTAAAAAAAGGGAGTTAACGTGCTTTATTTGCGATGGATCGCCGTTTTAGTAATTATTTGACCAGTAAAGTTTTTCTTTAGCAACCCCAGTAATCAAGCAAGAAAGAACTACAGTTTTTGAATATTGTAGCCGTTCAACAGAATAGACTTTGATCTTGAATTGCCAGTTATTTACGATTAATCCTGTGGCTCGAACAAGATATATCCTGCGATTTAAAAGTTAAAAATTGTGTTGTAAGACATTATATCTGGTCCTCCTTTCTTGTGATATATCTGAGCCTTCGTATCCAACGTTAAGTAAGCAGAGAGAACATAACAGTAGATCTCAGCAGAATTCCTAAGCTCTGCCCTTGAGGTTCTACCATCTCAAGCACTTAAAGTTCTGTCACACGAGGCTATTTTTAACGCAACATTCTAAATTCGGGCAAAAATGTTGAAGATTTTTTCAATTGCTTCCAAGAACCTACAACATGTTGCCGCAACCAAATTTTGCTTTAAAAGTCTCCCTGACTTTGCCATGTTATAATGTTACGTTAAAAATCGGCGTTTAAAAACGGCTCGTGTAACATCTCTTTAAGGCTTCAAGATGTAACATACATGAAAGACGAGCATTTTTTATATTTCAGTTTAACTTGTTTCGAATTCTTCAGCATTCATTCTCCGTTCAGGGATGTTTACAAGTGTCTAGTACATACATAAAGCAGTTGGGAAACAACAAGAATTAGAACTAAAAAATCGCTAGTAGTATACAACTGTGTGAAGATACTAAATAATACTTAGGGTGGAAAGTAAAAAACAACATAGAAAGAATTCAAAAATAATTACAAGATAAAATACTCCAAACGTCACAATGTGGTAAGAACAGCACACGAGCCGTTAGGTGAGGGGGTAAATAGTTCTTACCACAATTTCACGTCATCTGTGATCTATTACTGAACGGACGCACCACAACGTGGAATCTATTTGCTAAATTGAAACGTAAATTTAACTTTTTTTGCAATGCGTTCTTCATCGTCAGAGTATTTTATCATGTAATGATTCGTGATTTCTTTCCTTCCATTTGTTTGGAATCTACCTGTTTTATCAGAAGCATATCACCTAGACTAGGTGATATGCTTCGGGTTTTGTATAATGAAGAAACAAAACAAAAATGTTAATGGCGTTATCTATACGTCTGTCCTCCAGTAGATCATGAGTAAGAACCAATCAATATGCGAGAATACAGTCGAATATCCCATAAGCGACCACCCAAAATGTCATGCCCTGGTGGTCGCTTACGAGAGCTTAGACCATACCGGGGCTATTGGGTCAAAATTTTGTCTCATTAGCATAAGGTAGCTGTGAAAAGTCAATTTTGAAAAACATGCGATACTTCCCTTTGAGAAATTTCCTTCTCTTGCACAACCCAGGAATGTGAGAATGTTATAACCCCATATTATCCAATGTCGATCTATTATCCGTTAAGTGGTCGCTTACGGGAGGTTAAAATCAAAAGAAAATTTCAGACTTTTGGCTCTAAAAGTGGTCGCGGTCGCTTACGAGAGGTGGTCGCTTACAAGAGGTTCCAAATATAGTGATTTGGCTCGGAAACTTTGGGTATTTTGGAAAACTGGTCGCTGTAGAGAGGTGGTCGCTTACGAGAGGTGGTCAAAACCGGAATTCGACATAATATAGAAATTGTTTTGTGTACTTTCAGATGAACCAGTCGCCTGTTGAAGTCGCCAACAAGGGACTTGCAAGACAGCTTATTCATTTGGGTGACAGCTGAGTCCGCGCACTCTACACATATGACGTGTACTTTATATTGGCTGTCACCTGGACCTCCCAACTTCAGCTTTTTCTAGCCGTTTCTACATCTGTTTGTGGCTATCAGTTTGTTTTCCTTCTGTCTGTATCAGTTTGTTTTCTTTTTTCTTGTCTGCCTGCCTGCCTGTCAGACAGTTAGTCAGTCTGTCTGTCTGTTTTTCTGTCTGTCAGTCAGTCTGTCTGTGAGTCTGTGTCTCTGTGTGTCTGTTTTTGTGGCTCTGTGTGTTGTATTTTCCATCCGTCTTGTTGATTGTATCGCTGTGTTCTAATCCGCAAGTCAACTCCACGAGGAAGTCAGTGAAGTCTGCCTGACGTTTGTTAAGGGCACTAAAACATGAAACATTCTTACGATAAATTAGCTGATTTTAGCAACATTGCACACGCCCCAAACCAATTATTCACTTCATCGTCTTATGAGGAGTTGAATCTTGGACAATAATTCAATAAAAAATTAAGACCACCCATTTCAATGGTGGAAAAAAAATGCGCGTGTCAGGTTCAGAGAGCAACTTAGCGTCTTGGTCGCTGATAGTAAGTATAATAATAGATCTTTATGTAATATATCAAACACGAAAGACCGTGTTTGACCGCATTTCCAAACACCGAGAAGAGGGTTGAAAATACGACGCGCAGCGGAGAATTTTTTACGAACTTCGAGCTGTTTGGAAATGTGGTCAAATACTGTCTTGAGTGTTAAAAACTAAGGAGGAAACGGAGAAATAAAATCGTAAAAATCTATGCTAATTAAGATCAGATATCGAAACACCGTCACGGTCATGACTTCCTTTGTCTAAACTTGATGAATTTATCAATGAGTTTGAGAAATATTTGTCAGTATCAATTTCACAATTTATTTACCTCTCACGGAGTCGTACCAATTGCAACAAACCAGAATAAAATGTATTTGATCAAACAAGCTAAACCACAATAAAATGCTAACTTCGCTTGTGATATGCCACTAATTGACATTCGAAAGAAGTGATCTAGTGGCTTACTTTGCTTCCTGTGGCACTGTTTGTTCACAAAACAACATACCTGTAACCAACATAGGACGTGTTTTGGTTTTATATTAGAGGGATGTATTATTGATTCTGGGGGAGAGGGAGCTTAATTGTTTTACTGCATTCTCTTTATATTTGAAACAAAGTGCTTAAGTGCTCATTCTGCTCGTAAACACTCAGGTAGTTCTCACTACAAGGTGTTGCACGATAATACAGATAGACAGGTGGTTACCATGGTTATTGGACTTTCGGCAAATTCTCACCTCACATGCACACAAGCGCGAGAGACGCAAATATTTGACTTATTGGGGAGGTGATAGGAAAAAATGTAACAGGCACCGAGGAAGGTTTTAAAAAAGATCAAAATAACTCATTTTAAGTGTGTAGTTTTAAAAACGCGCTGTTACCCCTCCATTTTATGTCATGAAATGGAAGTGGCAGGTCCATTCAACACAAGATAAGTTTCTGGTTGTGAGGAAAAGCTAGCTAGACTGTCTTGTTATCAGCAGTCTACTAATAAACTTTGAAAAAAGGACAACGCTGTATTTGTTTAACCCAGAGGAGAGTTGTCAGGCATGCTCAAAGAGGATAGTATGTACCTAATGACTGAGTGGGAGGGTCGGACAGGAAAATATTTGGCTCAAGGTCAGGACGTACGGACCGAGCGCGGCGAGAGCCAAATATTTTCCCGTCCGGCCCGACCTTACTCAGTCAATAAGCATTTTATCATATGACAACTTAGTGTTGAAAATTTTGAAAATTCTGTTTGAACCAGGGGGACTCGATTACATAACATCCGACGGCCGCGCGCGGAACAGCTACCAAAAGGATTCTACAATAAAAGCTTGTCATTTAATAGTTCTTCGCGTTGAACAAGAAACTCACAATTTGTCGAAAAACACGACTCATTTTCTTATTTTTGGTTTTCAGTGTAAGTCCACAATTACAGTTCATGCTAATGGATTGGCTAACCTGTCTAAAAAACCAACGGTAGGTTGACATAAGGTTTCAAACATCGGCAGGTATATTTTGCAGGTTGCAGGTTGAAATTTAATTATAACTGGAAAACCGCTGGCACTTGAAAGAAACGTACAGATGGTAGACTTACCGTGACTGTTACATGGCGCTGTTTACGATCGCTCAGAAAGGTGGCTTCCACCAAAGTGCTAACCCGGCCGAAGCGATGGGAGGAGAGAATATTCCTATGATTTTAAGCCTGCAATGAATTATTGTTTTTGAAGAAACATCTGAAATATCTGTTGAATTTGGTTTCTTCCCTGTGAGTACTAAAATGAAAGCACAATGAACTTGTGCTAGCATATTCCGTCGGTTAAAATCTTATATTATTTCATTTCTTTATTTATTTGCTTCATTTGTGATGGCAATCTTCTGTTGTTGAGGGAGCTGTGGAGCGGCCATCCAGATGGCTTTGAAGAGATTTCACTGGTCTCAGCGTGGTGATCGATAAGTACTTATAGCGGATCGATCGTGTTTTCATTATGTGAAAGGGGCGATTTACTTTATGTAAGAACCCCTGACGAGTATATAGGTTCTTAATTATTTTTAGTGCCAGCGGTTTTCCAGTTATAATTAAATTTCAACCTGCAACCTGCAAAATATACCTGCCGGTCAAAAATATGTCAGAACCGCTTCCCTTCACGCTTCACTAAAATTGTTCACAAACCTTCTTCGTCCGAAGACTCAGTTAAATGTCAGCGTCGTTTCAAGCTATTTGTCGACCTCTTGGATTCTCTTGAAGAAGGGAGAACCAGCAACTGAATATTAATGACACCGATGTTAGCTCCCGCGATCAGTGCCTGGGTTTTGCTGGCTTTGCTGTGCAGTGGAAATTACACTGCGGCGTGGACAAAACCAGGATCGGACCGGATCACGGATCGGATCAAGGAAAAAATTCAAAATTCAAAATTCAAGATTATAAAATTCAAAATTTTGTTGAGCAAATTACCCTAGAGTGACGACTGTGGGCAGAACGTTTCATTTAATTCAGGTGTGATATTCCTTTCTTCTTTTATAATATCAAGCCAACTGGGAGCTGGTCACAGCACAGGCGGCCCAAGCTCACAATGCAAGGAGCTATTATTTATTTATTTTTTAAGGCAATTTCCCTGAAATAAAACTGTCAATAGATTTTTGTTCAAACTTTGTCCACTGAATATTTATTATATGAGAACTTAAATTATAAAATAAAAATGAGGGGTGCCCACGCTCGTTAAGGAGCAGTGAGGCATTGAAAATATCCCATTTTGGCATTATTGAATGCTTGTTACAAGAACGCATTCCAAGTTATTGTAAATCGTTATGAACCCAGACTCATGAAAACACGCCTCAAACTACAATCAATACTTGTGTCGGACACAAATAAACTTTTAAGTTTGATTTTGACAGACAGCTGAATCTTTGTTAAAATATTGGAACCAAATTGCTCGCCACGGCTATCGAACTACAAAATAGAAATGACTACAGTGCAGCTGCTATTTTCCTTATTTCTTCAATTTTCAGCAATAGAAATCAGATCAGTCTTTTCTCACGCAAAGCTAATGNGCCTCAAACTACAGTCAGTACTTGTGTCGGACACAAATAAACTTTTTAGTTTGATTTCGACAGACAGCTGAATCTTTGTTAAAATATTGAAACCAAATTGCTCGCCACGGCTATCAAACTACAAAATAGAAAAGACTACAGTGCAGCTGCTATTTTCCTTATTTCTTCAATTTTCAGCAATAGAAATCAGATCAGTCTTTTCTCACAAAAAGCTAATGATTAGCTGATTAAAACGACTGGAAAAAAATTGGGATGCCCGAGCTCGTTAGTGAGCTATAGCCATTTTTCGACTGACAGAACTCAACATCAAGGCAAATCCGCCATGTTTTCAATGTGCGCGTGCATAGTATTGCATTGCGCATCCCTACTGCGCATAATTTCACCGTGATTAGCGCGCGCACATTAAATCAATGGAGACCTATGGCCAAACTCGTGGATTAGGTAATCTATAGAGATGAAACATATTAGTGAACTTGCAATTACTGGTGTATTATTAAATGCTGTTAAAACAAGCCGGGTTTGTACCATACTAGGTCGCACTTAACTCACAAAGTGTAGGCTTTTTTCGTTGGCTTTTTTTGGCACACATATTACAAAGACATACGTCCAGAATAGCTAGGGTGGCAAAATTGCAGCAGAACATGGAATGGTAAAGGCTAAGGGTTCTTGGGTCACAGAGGACACTCCTGCCAAACAGATCATAGAATATTCTCCCCCCTGCCCCCTTCCCTCACACCCAGATCTTGATGTTGATCTGCCTGCTGGAAAAATTTGCATGTATTCACGTCCTACGAGCTCATAACCGTTTTTCATTGCATTTCATTCAAGGTTATAGATAAGGTTTTTTATGAGACAGCACTTCTTTTCCAATGTGGAACCGCTTGTCTCTATATATATTGTACGTAAAATACATCAAAATAAGCAGACTCTTTTGCAAGCATTTTCAGTGTTGATCCGACAAATCTGTCGACCATAAATATGTGTTCCAACAGTAATAATAACAGCTTTATTGAAGTGTCAATGTATTTAGTATTAACTAATAATTGGGGACAAGCTCACAGGGGGTTTCTTTCCCTTTGTTATCTTTTC